ATATGACCTCATCCTTGGTCATATGACCTGATCACCTGACTAGGCTGAGTAAGCAAGATGTTCTAGCAGGTTCCACCACAGAGGTATAAATATAAGGCCTACTCTGCCTGGGGACTGTCTCTTGAGACTTGGTCTCTTAGGATCATCCACAGGTACCTATACTGTAGATAGGTCTTAGTCATCAGGTCTACTCCACTTCCTTGTTGCCTGCTTAGACTCTTGGCACTCTTAGGTGAGCAGACTTAGTCAGCCTGTGTTGCCCTAACAACAAGCCATATCAAGTTGCAACAGATGCTTTGGACTTTGCAATTAGTGCAGAACTTGCTCAGCAAGATGAAGCCAGACATTGGCACCCCGTAGCCTTTGAGTCCCACAAGCTCACATCTGCAGAGCAAAACTATATGGCACAGGAACATGAACTTCTTGCTGTGCTGTATGCATGGAGGAAATGGTATATCTACCTAGAAGGGGCAGTCAGTCAGACAACTGTCTTGACAGATCACACTTCTCTTGCTTACCTCAAGCAACAAAAGGTTGTCACTCAACACCTTGCTTGGTGGATTGAAGAGTTCTCCATGATGGATGTGAAGATCATCTATCGGAAAGGAGTAGAGAACACTGTTCCAGATGTGCTCTCAAGGATGAGAGACAATTTTGAAGGGGGAGAAGTTCCAGATGTTACTGAAATTGCAGCATTGGACTTTGATCTCAACTCATTCAAATGGATGGACTGGCCATTACTGGTACCAGCAGTGCTGAAGAATGAAGAGATTCCAGCCTCAGTCCCAGAGAACCTTGTCAAAGAAGCGAAAAGACAAGCTGGCAATTTCCAGTATGACACAGTTGCTGAAACACTTGTGTTTACTGGGCCAAACAGAAATGAGTCTTCACCCTTCATCCCATTCTTGCACCGTGCAGAATTACTCAATGTGCTTCATAAAGAGTATGGTCATCAAGGTGTACATGGTATGCTGGACTTGCTCAGAGAACAGGGTTGGTGGCCTGGTCAATGAAAAGATTGCAAGACATATTGTTGAACATGTCCACAATGTCAAATCTTCTCTGACCCAAGGAAATGGCAGGAGTTTGAAGAACAACACCCACTTCCACCAGTTGAACCATTTGAGCAATGGGGAATGGACTTCATCAGAATGCCAGAGACCAGAGATGGTCACAAGCATAAATGGATCTTGACAATGGTTGATCATGCCACAGGCTGGCCAATTGCAATTCCAATGCAAAAAGCCACAGGCCAGTGAGTTGCCCAGGAGATTTGGGACCAGATCATTATGCACTATGGAGTGCCAAGTGAAATCCTAATGGATTGTGGAAAGAACTTCCTTGCTCCAGTGGTGTCTGAATTCCTGAAGATTGCAAAGATCAGATGGTTGACTACCTCAGGATATCATCCACGTACCAATGGGAAAACAGAGCGATACAATGGGATCCTTGAGTCGTATCTCAAGAAGATGAATACCACAGGAGATCCGACTCGATGGAATGAATTTCTTGATGCTGCACTATTTGCAACTCGAGTCCAACAGCAAACCACAGCCAAGTGGTCACCATTTGAGTTGTTGTATGGTCGAAAGCCTCGGTTGCCGTTTGACCAGCCATTTCTCCGTGCCCCAGATGCTGCACTCCCAGGGGATGCAGAGCACTCGGAACGGCACTTGCAAATGCAGAAGGCTCGAGAAGAAGCTTCGGAGCGAAGCACTATCCGGGCAGTTGCAGACAAGGAGCGGTGGGATCACCAACTCAATATCGGGACGGAAGGTACACAGCAGGGTTTTGAGATTGGTCAAAAGGTGCTGCTCCGGAATGAAACTGCAAACAAGGGTGATGCACATTGGTTCGGACCATTTGTGATCACTACAAAACTGGATAAGGGAACCTATCAACTGAAGGATAGACGTGGACACTTACGACCAGGCTTGGTAAATGGAAACCGTCTTCGACTTGCTCATCTCCGGGAAGATGATAGAAACCATCGGGCTTGGGTCTTGCCAAAGGCAACACAACGCCAGTGGTCGAAGGAAGACAAGGAAGCCGCGTCACAGGCTGTTGTCCGTGCCTTGCCTTCAATACGAATCATCGGTCGCTTTGCCAATCCAAATACCGGGTCTGCACCAATCACGGTTACAGAAGACAAAACCAGATCTGCACCAGTGACGGTTGCAAAAGACAAAGCCCAGTCTGCACCAGTGATGGTTGCAGAGGACGAATCACAGAATACACAGTGAACAGTTATGCCAAGATGGAGATCATGACCCATAGGTCAAGATCACGGAATTCCGCAAACTGTTCCAGTGAAAAAAAGGTCACAGACTCGATTCTAAACCGATAACACAGACAATACCCCAAGACTGCAGGTCTTGGATTACAATCCTCCAGACGGAGGTCCGATTCCCTCAACCTGAAGCCCCGGAGCAACCCAAACAGTCGCCTGCACAGATGTGCGAAGTTAGTAAATCCGATGCAAAAGGTGGTCCACTGATTGCATATGCATGTCCAGTCCTCCAGATGGAGGTCCAGAATGCAGTACACAGCAGTCTTACCAGGACGCACCAAAACCCGATTCCATCCTTGCAAACAGGAGACACAGAGCAGAGCCAGAAAGCAAAATTCCGTCTCAAAATCATAAAATCCCAGCCATCCAGCCCAAGAACAAGTCCAGAATCAGCCCAAAACCAGTCAGAATCCTCTGCAGAAGGCCCCAGGATGGTTGACAGTAGTTGACAGTAAGGTATGAGTTGAGCAAAGGGCTGGATGGCACAAGATCGTCCTCCAGCAGCATCGTGGTAGATGCTCAAGAGCTAGAGAGGGTATGGTGTCGAGTGTTGTGCCAGAAGTGGCAGTGCAGGACCCTTGCGCAGCCTTAAGGCACCGGAATGTGGTTCCATTAGACTATCTATGTAGCCTATATGTATATTGGGACGGATTGGCCTGCGGCAGGCCAATCCACGCCACTTTTACTATTCTCCCCTAATCAACAACTTGACACTTGTAACTGCAAGTACCTCACAAGAACTGAAGTTCTCCATGCATCAATTCAAACCCCTCCAGCTGCCACAGAAAATGTTAAGATATCAGGCTAAATTAGAGAGGACACCCTCGAATTTAGCCTGTTCTCTTGCTAGGCGATCTGAATCTGGCGAAAGAAGGAGGACCACTTCAACGAGCTCAAGTGTTTCTTAACCGAGACCACTTTTGGCTTGCATGGAGCCGCTCATCGCAGAATAAGTCGGAGATTCAGTGTGGTTGATAAACTAGAGATAGAGTAGTACAGGGAATGTGGTGGATAGAATCGCTCGAGCATTGCGGCGCTTCTGACTAGGGTCAGAAGCGTTTCTCGGACTCCTTTCCTCTTCGCTGTTCGATCCGGCTAACCCCCGGTTCCTCCGTTGCCCATCGAATATCATATGGCGATCTGCGTACAGGGGGGCCATGAGGTGGGGGGGGAGCCCCGGGGTATCTCCCCGACTGAAGCTGGACGGGATGGGGTGGTGGGCCAAAACCTCTTGCTGATGGTAGTTGCTCACTGGGGATATTGTGGTCATCAAGCTCCGGTATTTGCTCTGTAAGAGAAGGGAACGCTCCTCTACTTGTCGACGCTTGGAAGGGCTGGTGTCCGGACGAGGAAGACTCGTATTGGTACTGGCCCAGTGAGGGAAGACCTGTTCTGGGGACGGTGTGATGAACTTCCCTTCGAGGGACCCGAGGCGAGGTGGTGGTACGGACTGACGACACTCTTGGCTCGTAGGTAGAAGGAACAGAAAGAAGGGAATTCCTGGTCGCGGGCCTTTCCGGGGGAGAGAAAATAGGCGATCTCGATCCATGGGTGGAGCGTACGCGCGCAGGAGGGGGCCGTGGGTCGCCGTCATCTTCGGAAGCGGTCTGCTTGCTCTTTCTAGCGGTTTCAGCATTGATCTGCGCTTGACTGCGTCCCATCCCACGCCAATTTACTGGGATGCCGTAATTGGATAGATGCTAAAACCGTCACCCTTTGTTGTTTTCCCGCATAATTCGACAAAAATATACCCTTGTGAGTGGTGTGCTCGCTTTCAGACCGGGAAATCTAAGGATGGTGAGCTCGCAAATTGTATGATTGAATGTGTTCAGCTTACTCCTTTGTCCCCACAACAACAAACGGTTTGCTCCACGTCTCCGCACAAATGGGAATCACATCCTTCGATCTAATGCTGCTAAACTGTTGGACAATTAGATGAACCGCCCCATGTCTTCCTGACGAACGTACAATGTCAAAACATCTATACCGCAGCACAAAACTATGCACGAAAGAATGTTCAGATTCCATAGAAAGATCACTGACGATGGGCTTACTGGCCCTCCGTCCGAACGGATATATCCTGAAAATTTGTTTGAAGGATACTTGAAGACGGAGGGAACTTACTTACTCCGAAGACAAAAACAGAGCAGGGATTGTTTTGTAGATCCTTGATCTGTACCGCATTCACAACAGTACAGCCAAAGAGCTTGTCCGTAAATTTCTTGCGCTCGAACTCGCTCTCTTCGGCGCTGAGACGTTGAATCAGTTCCTGGAGTTCGTATTGCTCTGTGGGATTGTCGAGTCGGTACACTGGCCGGGGCCAATGAATGACAGTACCATCGGCCCACTGTTTCATGGGCTTCGGCCCAATAAACCCCGCCGGTTCCTTAACCGGAAACAAGTCGATATGGCACACAAATCCACTGAACGCGAAGGAGGCCCTACATCATGATTGAGCTTGATCTGGACTAAGGGTGAGCCGGAATCATACCCAGGGTTGAGCTCTGACACTCGTTCTTGGGATTTTCCTTCGTGTTCAATCTCGAAGAGTCGAAGCCGCACAACCGGGGGAGGGTCAAGCGGACGCCTTTCAATTCTATCTGCAGTATGCTCAGCTAAGAATATTATTCAGATTTCTTGAGAGATTTGAACCTAATACATACCCATTGGAGTCGATGTCTTTCTGTTTATGTCGGGGCTCTGCATCTCTGTCAGTTCCGCTCTGGACCACGAAGTCAGATTGCATTGAAAACGGACATGGAAGACAATACCGAATTGTCTTTCCTATGAGAGGTCCTGCCGTAAATTCGAAAGTAGCTGGGTCCATTGTTGCCGCAGAGGTTCTTCGATGGATGACCAAGACCTTCCAGTGAGGTATAAGCCAAGCTCAGCCGCGATGCCAGGGATAAAGTTATTGGGTGGTGAAGGAGCCGCTCCGACCGCCGTTATATACAGTTTTTGTATCCGCAGAGCGAAGGCTTGACCAAGGACCCGGGTCCACGGTCTCAGGAGCTGGGTAGTCGGGAATGGAAATGGAACGCCAGCGACTGGGGACGAGAAGATAGAATATGACCGGTCCTTCTGATGCGAGGGAGTGTAGGCATCTATGAGTGGTTTTGTGCTCCTCGTTTCGTGTCAGGCACCCAAAGAGAGAGAATACAATGTGACCCAAGAACCAGGGACGAATTGGACGCCGTGCCGATGCAAGCGATAATAGCGGAAATCAGCGGACGGGATGCCAGGTGAAGACGGGGTGTAGTACAGGGGGCCACATAAAGTCAAGTGTTAGGTATCTTCGAGATGAAGAAGGCCCTCTGTAGAACACTTCCTGGTTTCAAAGGGGGGAGAAATGCGTGGCGCTGAGCCTGTCGGAGAACACGCAGCCTTTCCTCGGAGGATTCGCTCCCGCGCTATCGGGCTACATCATGAGATGCTTCCATTTCGCCTCCTCGACCGTACTTGGAAACGGAGTTGAGTTCACATCAGGATGGTCATCATCAACGTAAACTCTAGCTGACCCCACGTCTTGGTAATTTCACCCTTCTGTCCTCCTGCATCATCACAAAAGAGACATTTTGCCTCATATTCATACAGGCCGTCCTTTGGTCTAACCTGCAAACGCAGGCTGGCAGAACTTGAAGGGCCGAAGACTACTGGCGGTTGTTATCGTGATCCATCAATCTGAGCAATCGGCGTCGGCCACTCGAAAGCGGACAAACCACCTTATCACGGACTCGTAGCGCGTCATTGGCACGAGCGCGATGCGGTACTTTCCGAGTCATGATTCACCTAGTTCTCCCATTTCCTCACCGAGGAGACCGCCAGCGCACCCGTTCGGCACCGTTCGGCGGACGAATTTGGGGTCCGGCCCGCATTCGCAGCGAGAAGTGGGCTATTCCACACCTGCAACTGGGTTTGTAATTTCACGGCATGTCCCGCTCGGTTTAACGGATCCGTACTTCGGTGGTCTGGTAGGGATAGTTGATGGGCCAAACATCCTCGCGACTAAACTTGTCAAAGAAGCGCTGGGCGAACTTCTTTGAGTTGTTTTCCTGGCATAGCAATGATCATTGGTAAGTCGCTACGTCTAAGTACTTCAGTGCCGTTGCGCGGGGAGTCTGCCACCTATAGCGTTCTTTGAGAATGTCACTGGCAACGTGAGATTTAGTCTTCCAACAGCATTAGTGAAGTTTTCGCAAACTCTTTAATGATCACAGCTTAGATGAGCAGAGAACATAGATCGTCCTTGTACACGGGCCGCTGAACACTCATCGGTTAGCCGATCGGATTTTGTACATTCACTCGCCGTCGGTAATTATTTCGCTGATTGAATAACAATTTAGAATTATTCGCGGTGCCGTTTTCGGTATGGAAGAGCTCAGGAAAAAATGGGAGACCCCAGCCCCTGTATCGCTTTCCGGTGAGAAAACCTTTCGGGAGAATGCTCACTTTGTTCAATGTATCAACCCTAGGCAAGCAATCTGTTGTCGTCCATACGTGGGAGGCACATTTCAAGCCACTTGGCGAAGGGTCTGGAGCAGGCCGTAGCGGTGGCAAAGTTGGTAAGTGTCACTTCTACCGCACAGCTTTCACGCGCTTGCCGTGTGCGTGCCTGATGGAAAGGACGATATTCAGCGGCTCTGACGTCTTGAATAGGAACGCTGGCGCCACTTAAATTGTCTGATGAAAGAACCATTAGGCTCGGATGGCTTCCCGGGTGGCAAGAGATGTCCGTGTCGGGAAGTAGAGACGTTGCTCGGCACAAGTCCAAGAGGTCCTTCCGCGTATAGAGTAGTCCCATACAAGGACATGCTCGCCATGCGGAAGAGTCCGTACTCTTAGTCATTGCATCAACCCAGTACACACTAGACACAGGCTCATGTTACAGACGCAGGATGACAAGGTTTGTTAGAAGCCCGTAATGAAGATCCCCATGATATGCCTACAACGAACTGTTTGTTCTGTGCACTCTTATGGTGGATCTCACATGGACTTCTCTTTGGCAACCCGAAGGCAATGAGCATACAACGTGACTATAGAAAAATCCCCATGCAACGCATAAGATCGACATGCCAGTGAGAAAGAAGCATACATGATTTAGACGCGTAATGGAAGGTAACGTTCCATCGGCCAAGATGTCAAAGAGGCTAGGATCACCACCCGTTAGCCGCGCCGGCTCCACCCCAGCCTGGATCGGGATCTGCAGCAGCACAGGCACTCCAACCGGCGCCCGCCGTTGGAACATCTCCCCACTCTGCTGTGTCACCACCAGTCGTGCCCGTGGCTCCTGCTCCAGCACTCGCATGGTTCGGGCTCCAACAGCCTTGACATCCTCCATGGAAGTTCCTCCTTCAGGAGTCTTTGCAACAGGAGCCGCCAGCATTGGGGTTACACCAGAAGTCTGCGTATCACTCCATGAGTTCCCAAATCCAGACTCACCGACCCATGCGTTGCCTGTGTTTGTAGATGTGCCTCCCCGATCGCTGGTCAACTGGTGTGGGGGCTGGTTTCCGATGCTGCGAGATCCGCCGAATCCACCGCCACCGTAACCTCCATGGGAAGGACCGCTTGCATGGCTTCCACGAGAGGAAGGGCCATGACTCCCGCGCCCTCTACCGCGGAAGTGGCCTTCTTCACCACGATCCCTTCCCCGCCCACCGTAGCCTCCCCCGCTGCCATTCGAACTCAGGCTCTCCACCTTCTTCTTGAGCTCGTCTACTTCTGCTTTAGTAGCAGTCGCATTCAAAGTGCTCAACAACTGCTTGTTTTGCTCGGTTAACTTGTCTACCTGCTCCACGAGTATCTTGACGCGATCCTGAACTCGTCTCTGATGGGCCATATCGTCGCTCAGCTTCAATAAAGCCGTCTCAAAGGACACTCGCTTGCCATAGAGACGCTTGAAGGGGGCCTCATACACGGACATATATTCATCAAGCTTCGCTTGGAGCTTGGGGTTGTGCCCAAGTACTATGAGGTTGAGTTCTTCGATTTGCTTCTTGGTGAAAGTCCCTGCGGATTTGGCATCGGAGAGTCTCTCCTCGGCAGCCCGTCGACTTGAGCGGATTTGGTTGATATCAAAAAGGTGTCTGTTGGCAGAATGAGTTATTGCCTTATTGATACACGAAAAAGAAAGACGGACCTGGTGAGAGCACGAACCTCCTCCATGCGTACTACTGGACCCCTTGGCCGCGATGCGGGAGGGTTGGTTTTGGTCACAACGCGAATGGGAGACCCCAAGGCGTTCAAGCCGTTCGGGCCGGGCAACTCAGATGACGGACCAGCAAATACTTCAGCCGTACGAACGGAGAGTAGAGACGGCGCCATCCGAACTCGGCCGATGTTGGCATCTGAGATAAGGGGCCGCACCATGGGAGTGGAAAAGCCGTCCCGTAAAGGATTGTCCACTATCTGTATCTCCGGTTCGTCATCTAGTAGGTTAGCCGTCGCATGCACAACTCTATTTCTAAACATTGCGGTGGTTTGTGTAGGAGCTGGCTTGCGTTTCTTCGAGGGTGGGTCGTAGTCTGAAACGTGTTGACAAGTACGTTGGGCAGGCAAACGATTATCTTCACTACCGGCGGTGGCAGGCGGAAAAGCTCCTTCCCACATGACTTCTGATGAGTTGTCATCATCTGAATGAGTCACGAATTTTCCGAAAGAAAGGACAGCTTCGGAGCTTGGAGCGGAGTAAGGGGCCGTGGTGGTGGCTAGCCCAGCTCCTAGACGTGTTTTATTGATGCTCTGCTGGTGCACTTGATGCGGAGCATCGACCGAAGATTTGGGCAAGACGATGCTGGAGAACATGAAGTACCAGACTGTGAGCGTATCTCGCCGTCTTCAATGATTCCGATACTCCTTGAAGAGCTTTCCATGGCGGCCGGGGGCTGTGAAGAGACTTTTGTAATTGGCTCAAGAACATCTGAGACAGCACTCGCATGCTCCTCCGTCGTTAACCCAGTGCTGGACAAGTTCGGCTCCGGATCGGATGAGATAGAATGAAGGGAATCATCTTGCGGCTGGACGACTTCTTCAGGGTCAGATGTCGACCAAGGAAGCCATGGAAACTTCTCCGCGACAGATCGACGCTCCTCCGGAGAGAGGAGCTCCTCTATCATACTGAGGTCTTCTTCACTGTTTTTAAGAGCGATCTCAGCATGAAGGAACATTGAAGGACAAACCAGACACTCACGAGCGACCTTGCATGCAAGGCAATGACATACTGCATTTGCACACGTGTTAGTATGAACCATGAATAGGTCAACGTTCACATACAGGTATTTGAACAACTCTTCCATCTGGGCTTCGGATGCAGCGCCTAGGTTCATGTCGTCGTCTTCAATCTCGTTTTCAGACGCGATTTCGTTGCTGTTCTGCATGTTGCGTATGCCCTGGTTATTCCCGTCGATCAAAAGCATGGAGAGAAACGTACTGTGATGCTGGAATTGGAGTCCACGACGGTCCAGTCGAGCCCAGACGCGGGTTCGCTTTGCATTTTATGCTGAAATGGATGGCTTGGGTGGTCAAGATGTCTTTTTGGCGAAAAAGAAGAAAGGACGATGGTTGATGGCTATCAAAGCGGCGAAAAGGTGCCGTGAACGAGTGCACGGGCGTAGATTTTTGAATTTCTCTTCCGTATTCCCGCATCTTCTATGTAGTACTCACCTGGACTTCGTAATAAATATGTTTGCCCAAATTGGCGCACACGCCTCTGGAAGGGGACAACTTTCCCCATAATCCGGGTTTCCGGGCTTCTTGCCATGATGAACGCCAGCAGACTCAGTTTCCTTGCCAGCGTAGCACTGAATGGAAACTAACACAGCTTCCACGGGATATTGGCTTTAAATTCCGCCGATAGCCCATGCCAATAACCTACTTCCTCAACCCTCTGCAAAATACGCGACAACGACTTCGGTACCAACACCAGAGAATACCTCCCCCGTGACGCTCTCGTCGACCCTCGCTCCAGATGGACTTCCGCTGGCCGTTTCAAAACTCTGCCCAGCCCAGGTGAGGCCACTTGTGGCGTCGGCACCAGGAACATAGAGACGCCTGAGGAAGTAACTACCATTGCCACCATTTCCAGCCACATTGGCTGTAGTCAAACCCGAGAGAGTGTAGGCGAACTCCGCCCTTGAGCCAGGCGTGTAGTAGGTGTAGTAGGGCGCAGAGTTGATGATCACGACGCGGAGCAGGGCGCTGGTGTCGGCGGCGTAGATGCCGTAAGAGGCTACGAAAGTCGAGTCCGTCGTCAGCTCGGCGATGTAGATTGGGCCGGTGTAGGAGGTGAGTTCAGACTGAATCAACAGGGAGTGATACAGCGGAAGAATGTGGGGTGCTGTATACGGCGTTCCATCATTGATACCTATTCAGGTATCAATAGCACTCAGTGTGTATGGATATGTTTTACCATTGTAGGGATCGAAGAAGTCATACTTGTACCCAATGCCGTTGTGGAAATAAAGACGTTCGATACCTCTGGCAGCGGCCTGGAAAATGTCTTAGATCGGGGTTAGTACATCATTATGTCCGAAACGCAGAACACACAATCCGTCACCCATACTGCGGCGCCAGCTGCGTTGCTGAGCCCTGGAGCACCATGGCAGCTGACACTATTCGTCTCTCCCTGTTCTCCATCAGCGTATACTCGGGGTGGAGTGTATCAAAAACACACCAGCTCGAACCTCCATCCTTGTGCATTGGCCGCCGCAATCTCTGGGTCAAACACGCTCAGATTCCCCCTGACGTACGCCTTGTTCATCAAATCGGCGACTGCACCACCAGCGCCTTGGCAGAAGCTACCCTGATAGTGGTGTTCGCTGACGGTGTACACGTCCTCGCGCAGCGTGCCGTTTAGCAGACCCGCGGCCAGTGCACCGGAGACGGTGAAACCGTTGGCCGGGGTTGGGTGGGCGAAGGACAAGATCTGCATACGTGGCGGGTAGGTGAGGGCACCTTGGATGGAGGTCGCGAGGCTGTTCCAGAGGGTGGTATAGTACTCGATTGTCCATCCCTGCGATACCCATATCAGGAAACTTGATCATCAACCGAAAACTGATGGCTCACGCCGCCATAAAGGTCCGGCTGCGATGGAGTTAGAAACAGTTGGCGGATGAAGTTCGGAATGCGCACCTCGTTGCCCAGCTCGAGATAACGCAACGTCACTCCGCTCATCTGATTGTACAGCGTCTGAAACACCTGGGTAATGATTTGTGCTTCGATGACGGCCCCATAGTTCGCCTGGGCCTTGAGGTTGATACCAAAGGTGAACTCAGTGCCGGAGGGAAAGTTCCCTGCAAGCGACCAGAAGTCAGTGCCGACGACCACAGTGTTCGCCTCGGGATAGGGGGTGGTGTTGGTCGCTGCAGGGTAGGTGTTGTTCGTGTACTGGACATCGGGCGACCAGTGCGTCTTGTCCTCTGTGTTACCGCCCACACGGATGGGAGGAGGTACTCCATATCGCTCGACAATATTTTGAAGGACGGTCATTGTGAACGGGTTGGGAGAACCGAGTGTGCCTGCCCAGTCGGGGAAGCGATCTTGCTCGATAGACATGCCGACGAGAGAGCCATACGAGTACTTTGCATTTGACGGGATCGAGGACGGGATCGTGATAGTCACTGGAGTCTGGGACACTGCGAGTTGCGCTAACCCCAGCGCACCTAGGACGATGTGGAGCATCTCGGTGAGGTAGTAGCTGGAGAGGTGTTGAGCCTACATCGAGGTTGAGCTGTCTGAGGGGTGCGTACATATATTCTTCCACCATTTTTTCCAGCACACTCCTATTACGTCTGTATGAACAATGAAGAGCAGCACTGGATCCTCCACATCAGGCGACGTGGGGGAAGGAAGGCTGGAGAGGAAGCGCCGAACTGCTGGCTCGCTCCATCCGGGGAAGGCGGATTACTTCATTTGTCTCGTGAGGGAGATCAAGAGTGTTGGCCGTCCACCACCACAACGACGAGGTGTGGAACGAAGTTCCTATTGAAGGTGAGTATACAATGTTAATCTCGAGGTTAAAAGCGCTTGCATGCTATGATCCTTGTAGAATATGGTTATGCAGCACCATGGAGAGATCACGGCGTTTCTCCGTGGGGGTTGAACTGCTCGCTTCCGAGAAGGGCGCGGACAAGCCGAAAGAGTCCGAATATCATCACATCTTTGACTTTCATTATTGCATGAAGGTTCGAGTGAAGAGCTGAATTCACTTGAAATACGCAGCGAGGGAACAATCAGTCTTTGGGTCGTGATTGTAAATCACATTCTTGAATCGTTCTCGAAACCTCTCAGCATTCACGTATCGAGCTTTCGAAATCCTCTTTTTGATTTCAGCTAGGTCTTCAGGTCTCTTCAGAAGCTGTCGCGCTCAAAATGCCACTAAGTCAATTCGTGATAAAAGCTGATTTGGGGCGAAAGCTTTAATGCTAGTTGTCCTCGCAAATGAGCACGTACCTTGACGCCTACTACTCCTTTGACCAGTCAAGTTCCTCTCAGCTGATGAATAACAAGATGCATATCGATTCTATGAATGCTCTTCCTACTACTGCTATGCTTACTGCCACCTGCTATGCCTACTGCGACTATTGCAAAAGCCTCAGCTACTGCTGCTCCTAGTTTGCTCACACAATTGGAACTGTGCTTATTAATTACCGGACCATTTGTTCTAGAAGATCTAGAACGTACTTCTGAAATTCGTTCAATTTTTCTAAATACAGGAATGACGGGTGCAGACGGAGGCATATATGGTGGACGCGTTTGCAGACAGCCGCGGTGTTAGGGGTCCCAGCTGTCTGCAAAAGGCCACCAGCTGTGGTTGTTGCATCTAATTTTGCTCAAATCCGTGGCTTTTCTGCATTTGTGTTTAATTCCGATTTTCTTTTGAATTTTGTGGCTGTGAGCAGGGTAAAAGGTCTGCGCATATGAGTCAAGGATCTGATACACTTTCCCTTTCCAATGGGAGCAGATACTTGGCTATTTAGTGGTAGCAGATAGGTACTTCTTGAGCTTCTGCTATCTGGCCTTTGGCTTCCATTTGCCTCTGCAGAAGTTCTTACTCTCTTCCGTCAAGTTTATTTTTCTTCCACTTGCTCCCCCACAGGAGTATATTAGCTTGTGCAGATGCAAAAACGGTGTTTCCACTGGATGTGGAGACAAATGTGCATAGCACTTTGAATCCTTATTTTGAGGCCATGTCCCCACCACCCTATTGAAGCTTGAAGGACCCTAATGAGCTGTCCGCGAACGTCCACCATAGAGGCATCGGTCATTTACAGGTCACGCAAACAACGCGTCGGACGCGTCTTTCATTTAGTCAACCGAACGCGTCTCCATTTCTCACACCTCTTCTCCCCTTACCACCACAACTCATCCCTCTCTTGGATCAGCTTGAGTTGCGCATACCTGATTAAATATAATCCAATATCAACTCTCTTGCACATCATGGGTAAGCAGGGCACGCTAGACGCTTTCATGCGTCGAGGCGCTCAAGCATCTTCATCTCCCGCAAGACCGCGGCAAAACTCTGAGACTTACATACCCTCCGACGACGCAGAATCCGTTGTCGAGTTTCGCGATGACACCATCCCAGAAGTTGTTTCCCGACGCGCCGCAGTCGTTATAGACACTAACCAGGTCCGCATTCGTCCGCCGCACAAATCGATCGACTCGAGCGATCCGCCCATGAGCGATATCAACGAGATGTTTCGCGATCTCCTAAAGCGATTCCCTGATTTCGAACGCGTACTCGAATTTTTCCAGACGAAGGAGGCACTTAATGTGGCCACGATGTGCTCCGGCACCGAGAGCCCCCTCCTCGCTCTCAAGATGATCGATAATGCATGCTTCGACCTGTTCGGCATTCATCTTCGCACCAATCACATTTTCTCATGTGAGATTGTTGACTACAAGCAAGCATATATCGAACGCAACTTTCAGCCCAAAATTTTGTTTCGTGACGTGTGTGAGCTGGGCAACGAGATGGCGTACGTCTACTCATCTCTCTAGTCATATCTGCTCTGATGTCCTCTTTAGTACGACTGCCTATGGTTCTCAGAAGAAGGTACCGCTCAATTGCAATATCCTCATCGCAGGCACATCATGTGTCGACTACTCCGCCCTGAACAACAAGCAGCAGAAAATTACCGATAACGGCGAGTCCGGTCGTACTTTTAGAGGAATGATGGGCTACGTCCGCCGTGCCCGGCCTGCGATCATCCTCCTGGAGAATGTCTGCAAGGCTCCCTGGGACCAGATTGTAAAGTACTTCAAGGAGGAGGGCTATGCCGCCACCTTCACCCGGTTCGACACAAAGGACTTCTATATCCCCCACACGCGCAATCGTGTATACCTCATCGCCTTTGATGCTCGCAAGGGTGGGAGCCCAACTTGGTCCCTTCCGGAGAAATGGCACGCCAAAGTCGTTCAGCTGAAGCGTCCCGCTTCCAGCCCGTTGGACGCGTTCCTCCTTCCTGCTGACGACCCACACATCCACCGCGCGCGAGAGACACTTGTCAAGGAAGCCAGACAAGCTCTGAACCGCGGTAGAGCCAGGATCGACTGGAGCAGGTGTGAAGGCCGTCATCAGCGTGCTAGACTGAACGAAGAGCTGGGCACCAGGAGGCCATTCACTTACTGGGAAGATGGTGCGTTGGTAAATTTGCACAACCTGCAGATGGCTAACGTTAGTTTAGGCGCGAAGTGTAGCATGCCTGACTGGACTTGGCGCGACTGGGGCGTCATGCAAGTCGAGCGTGTTTGGGACTTGGTCGATATTACCCTCCTCCGTTACGCCAAGGAGGACTGGGATCCGTCGTATAAAACACTGGTGTGGAACCTCTCACAGAACGTCGACCGGCAGATCGGTTCGGGTGTCATTGGCGTCGCACCCTGCCTCACACCCAGTATGATCCCGTACATCACAAACCGTGGTGGACCGATGACTGGTCTCGAAGCGCTCGCACTGCAAGGCCTCCCGATTAACGAGCTTCTGCTCACGCGCGAGACCGAAGATAATCTCGCTGATCTCGCTGGAAATGCGATGACCTCTACGGTCGTTGGTAGCGCCACTATTGCAGCCCTCTTCGTAGGGCTTAAGCACCTGTTCCAGGATATACCCGACCGCGAAAAGGAAGATGAGGATATGGAAGGCGAGACGGGAATACAGGCTCACATTGGTGGGGAAGATCGGCTTGCATCTCACCCTCTCGACTTGGCAGCCACCAAGTCTATCAACCTCAAACGTATCTTCGATATGGCCCAGCGTAGTGCTCGTCTGTGTATCTGCGAGGGACGTTCTGGGATGACCACCGACCTAGTCCATCGGTGCAAAGACTGTCTTGTTACCACTTGCTCTCGCTGCGGTGGTCGGCCAACGCACAACTACGAAGCGTACACGATCGATCGCCTGTCTCCGATCGATTTCGAGAAGGAGCTCAAGGCGGCGTTGCCTATGTGTCTCGAGTTCTCCTCAATCACAGAGGAGGATCTTGAACTTGAGAATGTAGCTCCTGATCTCGATATGGACAGATCAGGACGCACTCTGAAGGATGCCGACTTCAAGTTCTGGCAAGATGCGGTTCTACGAGCCACAAGCGGTATACTACGTTTTACTACCTTGAAACGCCAAGAGCTCTGGGTGATTCACTACGATAGCGCGTCAGCCCGCTTGGAACTGGTTCTCTATCCAACATCCAAGCCTCAGTGGTTCCTGTATGCCAAGCCCGAATCTGGCATGCCAGCCAATTCTCCACATCGCCCTCTTCTCTCCCAGCCAATCTTGCGTTCCACAGGAAAAAATGGGTTCTTCGACGGGCCGTGGCAGTTTGGCTTGCCTATCACCGAGAAGCTGACTATCAAAGTGGAAGGCAAAGGCGAGCTTGTCCCTAGCTTCCAGAGCAGCCTCGGTCTGCAAGGCGAGTTCGCGGACGGGAAGGTATGGGATATGTGGAAGATCTCTGTTAATGAGGATGATGTCGATCGATTGGACTTTGACATCTCCGGTGAATACAAGCTCTTGCCGGACTGTGGTAACGCGGCTCGATCCCTGCACAGACGCGCGACCAGTGGTCCAGATGGCAAGGAGCTTTTCTTTTTCCGCGATCCGGAACGTATTCGATTTGGCAAGTCCGATAGCTACACGTTCTCCTGGACGCACCGCAGACTTGACCATGGCGAGGACCGCCCGGTTCTTTGCACACTTGACAAGACTTGGAGGGAGCACGATAGGAAAGGTGCAGAGAAGATCACCGCCCACGTCAGCCGGCTGTGGACCAAAGCCAGGGATTTGGTAATTACGGTATGTATCTTGTATGCCCGTTCTATATAAACTAATTTCAGGTACAGCCTATCCAAGAGGGGGATGCATCGTATGCTGTCCCTGTGGGGCCCGTGCCCATTGATGTTGAAGCTGGTCACTGTGAGACTGCCACCGCCATTCTCACCTGTGAAGTTCCTATTAAGGACGAGATGGCTGCCCACTGGTCCGAGAATCAATGGACGGAAGTCGATGTCATTCACGAGCGTGCTATTTTCCAGAACCTGTCATGGCTGACGGAACGAGTCAAGACGATCTCCAATATGCAGGACTGGTCAGTCGTGCAAACTGCTGCTTGTGATCTACCGGAATGCATCTCCTGTGCGCCCAAGGCTCCAACCATCCAGTGGTTCAAAGCACCAAAGAAGGGAGTCATCGCCATGGAGGATATGGCTGAAGCCGGAAAATATGAACAGGCTCTGAAGAGTCGCACCTCGCCATTTGTTACACAGCTTCGCCTCTTGGATGGTGTCGGTACGATGCGCATTGGCGTCAACTTCGCATCCCTTATCCACCGCGCTGCGGCTGCGCTCCCTGACAGGGGGAACAAAGTTGTGCCCGAACTCGCCTGGCGCTTGACGACAGATTATATGCAAGGCTCCATCCTTGACCTGCCCAAGTTCAGGTTGACGAGCAACCGTCGTGACGTTGAAGCCGCTCAGCCACCGAACTTCAAGAAGAAGGTGCCACTGCGCAAAGAGCAGCTGCGGTCCTTGACATGGATGCTGCGTCAAGAAGCTAAAGGAGCCCGACCATTTATTGAAGAAGAGATCGTCGAGGCAGTCCTCGAGCCGTTGGGTTGGCGTGCCGAGGGCCGCGCTACACGCCCTGCTGTAATTCGTGGTGGTGTTCTGGCCGATCAAGTTGGCTACGGGAAAACTGCTATAACCTTGGGCTTGATAGATGCTGCTTCGCAGAGGCCGCCTCCCGCAGTCGACGCCTCCGTACTACGAGGGCGTATTCCTGCATTGCAAACAACTTGCTGCGTCGTCCCACCACATCTCATCAAACAATGGCCGTCAGAATTCCGCAAGTTCTTGAAGCCCGATGCACATGATATAGTCGTCCTGGAGAGCATGGCCAGTCTGAACCGAGTGACGATCGAGGAGATTCAAAATGCGAAGATCGTCCTTGTTGCTTCCAATCTCTTCCAATCCAAGGCTTACGTTGAACGGTTGGGTATGCTGGCTGGCAAGTTTATGCCCCTGCCTGGCACGGGTTCTGCCCGCCACTATCGTGACCGATTGGATACAGCATTGTCAGCCCTGCGGCACCAAATGAGCAGGCTTATGGGCGATACCGGGGCAGCAGGCGTTTGGAGCAGGGTGAAGTCGGCCCAGCTTCGAGGTAAGAGCATCCATTCAATTGTCCCCATCGTATTTCTCCTTCATTATCCCTAGGCCCAGAAGCCGAGGAGGTCTTCGTGCAGTCAATAAGGTTGAAGGGTCAAAAATACCGTGATGCTCATGCTAACGACTCTACTGCCAATGTATTCAAGAAAGGAAAGAAGGATGCGGCAGGGTCCAGCCCAGCGTCGAAAAGACGACGTAGCGATGATGAGGCTGAAGAGTCTGAAGAAGAGTCTGACGAACCCGCCATCAAGAAGCAGAAAGCGGCGAAAGCCGTTGTGGACCCCTGGGGCCTTCAGACTAGCAAAGTGAAGAACAAGTGGCAGCAGATGACCTGCCCGCCACTCGAGGCCTTCCTTTTCGAACGCTTGGTCGTGGACGAATACACGTACCTAAAGGATGCCCCCCTTGCGTCGGTTACCAGACTCAGCTCAGCATATCGGTGGGTCCTCTCTGGAACGCCCCCCGTTCACAACTTCGCTGCGGTCAAAACAATTGCAGTGTTTTTGGATGTTCATCTGGGCATTGACGACGCCGGTGAGATGAAAGGTGAGCAAGGTGGAAGAGGCAGGCACGCTAAGAACGAGCAAACATGTGGGTATCCTTTACCCGGAACTGAAGCAGCATTCTAATCAGTCACGACAGCTGTGGAGAAGTTCCATTCTTTCCGTGAAGTACGTTCGCCTGCTTGGCATGCCCGCCGCCATGAGAAGGCACAAGAATTCTTAGATCACTTCGTTCGTCAAGTGAGTTCGTGCTGCCGAACAGCCGTACGACTACTTATATGCTTTAGAACATCGCGGAGATCGACGAGATTCCTTGCGAGCAATCCCTCAAGCTTGTCACGCTTCCTGCTGCTGAACGTGCCATTTATCTGGAGCTGCTGCATCATCTCATGGCGCTAGACATGACCATCAAAAAGGGAAAGAGGGGAGAAAGCGACCGAGACAAACGCCTGGCTCAATCTCTCGGAGATAGCGAGTGAGTGATTGCACCAGGTAATATAAGCCTTACTTACCAGTTATTTCTAGATCTGCTGAGGAAGCGCTTCTGAAGCGTTGCTCGCACTTTGACCTCGATATGGATGGCATAACGCTGGACAAGCCTCACAAGAAGGCAGACAAGAAGGGGAAGAAGGGACGACCGAAGAAGGATGTCAGCGACGATGAGTCTGCCATGGAAAGTGATGAAGAGGTAAATGACAGCGGGGACGACAGCGACGTGGCCTGGGTTGCCTCTGGCAATACCAAAGATCAGAACCGAAGCGACAACGCCCTTCAAGCGTGCGATGTCATTGTGCGCGATCGAACGGCTCAAAGAGATGATTGCGAGCGCGACCTAAAAGAAAAGGTCAAGGAAGCCTTGATTATGGAGAGGAAGATTGGCTCGATAGAGGAAGACAGCCCCTTCCGCGCCTGGATGAAGGGATGTCAGCAACGTGGCGTCAATGACAAGGAGGCAACTGCTCGTATCGTTAAGTTGATTCGCGACGCTGTGGCCAAGCCCACACCTTCGACACCAAACGGGAAGCTAACCACTCGCGACACCAACGTGACCACTTCTCCGTCCTTCGATAAGGGAAATAAGGGGCAGAAGGGGAAGTCCAGCAAGAGCTCGAAGAAAGAAAACAAAGCCCCCAAGAAAGCCAAAAAAGCCAAAGATGAAGAGTACGAGACGGACAACGATGATGACGATGACGAAGCTGTTGGGCCAAAAAAGAAGACCGCCGCAGATATTCAAGAGGAGATACGTTGGGATCTACGAGAACAGACTCATGTTCTTCGACGTCTCGAAAAAGAGCTCGTAGGACGTGTTCGATCACTGCGGTATTTCGCCAATATCCGTGATCTACAGACTTTGGACAACGAGCATCGGAAGGCGGGCATGACGGAGGTAGTGTGTCCCAACTGCCCGTATACGACGGGACCACTACCCTTGTCAAATCTCTCCATTTTGTCATCATGCGGACATATGGCCTGTCACAAATGCGTACGTGAGCACGCTGTACGTGAAGAATGCGTATACCGCCAGGAAGGCTGCCGTGCACAAGCCCGCGAACTGAATATCGTTCATGCTGATACCCTTGGTATGGACGAGACACACGATCGTAAGACCAAACATTATGGCATCAAGCTAGAGAAGATCGTACAGCTCATTAAGTAAGTGCTCTTTCCTTGACCCTAGTCTTGCACCAGCTGATTACTGATACAGACACCAAATTCCTCAAGACGAGCGTGTCCTTGTATTTGTCCAATTCCCCGATCTCACTGAGAAAGTCGCAGCCGCCCTGCAGGCCCACAAAATCTCTTTCCTCCAGATCAGGGGAAGCGCCAGCTCGAAGTCGAAGGCGCTGCAAGAATTCCAGAATCCAGATGCTTCGCAGAAAGTGCTTCTCTTGAACGTCATGGATGAGAGCGCGAGCGGCGCGTAAGTTCTCGATATTGTATCTACCTTCAATCTCTCACCGCTTATGCTCAGCAATCTCACCGTCGCCAACCACGCCATCTTTATTTCTCCCCTTTTGGCACCCTCGCAAGAGATTTATGAGGCGAACGAGACACAAGCGATTGGCCGTCTGCAGCGATTCGGTCAGACCAAGATGGTTCATGTGTATCGTTTCCTTACCACAAACTCTGTCGATGTCACCATCTTCGAGGAGCGAAACAATTACAAGGTCGACCAGACGAAGAAGAGCAGCGTGCTGAAGCAGCAAGATATCAAACGGCATGCGACGCAGCACGAGAAGCTTGTGTTTGACCACATCGAAGTTCCTTCGTTGGGATCAGTTGGACATCGATCTCGTAATGTGTCTGCCTCGCCGCCAATCATCGCTGCTGAGCCCATCGACCTGACGATGAGTGACGAGAGTCCTTCACCCTCCGTTCCTGCACCGACTTCGGCTGACTTGGGCACTGAGCCTGAACCTGTTATTGTGGCTGCCGCTGTGACCGTCACTGCTTGATTGATAATTCATACTATGTATAGTAAAGGACCACTTGTTCATCAATTACGATTGGGCAATATTTGTATAGCTTCGTCCGGTCATTTTCATTGCACTCCTGTAACGCATCTTGGGTAGCACCGATCGCCTCATAATCTTGAGCATTGTCATTTCTCTGCAATATTTCCGGCTCTTTCTGGGTTCCCGCAGTTCTTGCTTAGTCAGCAACATTGGGTCCAAACCCTCATTGTAGGCGTCAGCCGTCCGACCAATCCACGTCTGTACCAACTCCTATTATTACTTGAAAATGCGTACAACAGAGGCAGCAGCAGCAGAGGTTCCATGCACAGGTGTAGACTGTCCCAACAAGGCCGGCAAGCTGGAATGCCCGACATGTATCAAGTTCGTATACATGACCGTTCTGGCGACGACACGCTTGCTTACTGTATTAGGCTTGGGATCAAAGGTTCGGTCTTTTGCAGTCAGGAATGCTTCAAGAACAGTTGTAAGTCTCAATAGTCACTTGTGCTTTCTCTCATCAATGATTCATCATGCAGGGGTATGAATCCCACAATTACACGTCCTGACGAGCTTAACTAAACTTCCGTAGAAAACGCACAAGCAACTGCATACTGTTGCTACTTCCAGCGCAAATCCTTCAGGTGCGTTTTTACTTTGACTGTTGTTGTTCTATATGAAAATTTTTGATTGCTTGATAGCGGACGGACCTTGGCCATTCTTCAAGTACACCGGTTCAGTCAGAGCAGTTTATCCTCTTAGTCCGAGGCGACCGGTGCCGGACAGTATTCCAAAGCCAGATTACTGGAAGGATGGTGCGTGTCTTGCCACCAGAGGACATTGAGGGTGTACTCATAGAGATCCAGGCATACCCAAATCCGAGAGAACGGGTGACGTACAACGGAATCCTCGAATACTGAACGAGGCTGAGATCGAGATTATGCGCACATCCTGCCGTGTATGGTGTTGCCTTTCATGTTTGATCCACTCTCTGATTTTGGCACCAGCTTGGCCGTGAGGTGCTCGAAATCGCTGCCGCTGCCATTGCTCCGGGGGTAACCACCGATGAGCTCGACAGAATTGTTCATGAGGAGACGATCAAAAGGGGCGCGTATCCGAGTCCGCTCAACTACCGTGATTTTCCCAAATCGGTCTGCACGTGTGTTTCTCTATCTCCATTCCTAATGTAGCTTGTCTCATTCTCGGTAACAGATCCGTGAACGAAGTTATCTGCCATGGTATACCCGATCAGCGCAAATTACAAGAGGGAGACATTGTCAATTTGGGTACGTCCAGTTTCCATGAGGATCAGCGGCGACTTCTTAATACGGATGCAGACATATCATTGTACTACAAGGGCTTCCATTCTGATTTGAATGAGACATATGCGGTGGGGAAGATCGATGATGAATCGCAAAAATTGATTGATACGACCCGCACATGTCTTGATGAGGCGATCGCGATGTGCAAACCTGGTGCATTGTTTAGGGATATTGGGAAGTTAATGTGAGCGCCGCCATGCGGAACCTTGGTGGAGCTGGATATTAATTCATTGTCTAGTGAACCAATAGCGAAGGCGAATGGCTGCAGCGTGGTTCGTTCATACACTGCACATGGCGTCAACCAAAACTTCCACTGTGCACCCACGTTCCCCCACTACGCAAAGAATAAAGCGTGGGGTGCCATGAAACCTGGCATGACATTTACGATCGAACCAATGATTAATCTTGGTACCTGGCACGACACACACTGGCCAGATAATTGGACTGCAGTTACGCAGGATGGTAAAAGAAGTGCACAGTTCGAAGAGACGCTGTTGATTACAGAACACGGTTGCGAGGTTCTAACAGCGAGGAAGGATCGCAGACGATTCTACCCGTAGCGGACCAATGGTGTCAGAAGGGTTGAACGGTATGGATGGAGCACAGGATGTACCTTCGTGTAATGTACATTGACTTCATTATGATTCGGTGGTCTATCTCGCAGTTCCCTTTATTCGGTCATTTATTACCCTCAGCACGCGGCGATCATCCACTACACCGCCGTTTCCACTGTTGTCATCGGTGTGCCCCATGCATAGAGGTCGAATCCCTCCTTGTACCGCTTTCCCGGCTCGCGCTCGAATGTTGGCGGCCAAATTTTTCTTCTGTGAGCGTAGTAGTCGTCATGTTGATCTCCACCTTCGCTCATCGCATTGTAAGTGGCGTAAATAGCAGCCCGCCCATGTGGAGAGTTGTTTGGTCCAGAACGGTGCGCGAGGAATGACCCGAAGATGAGCATATCTCCTGCCTGTGCGTTAACCTCGTGTTCTTCGCACCAAGCGAGTGGAGGAGAGCAGCGTACCTGTATCCAGCGGCACCGGCACCCACTCATGTCCATCCTCCCACTCCTTCTTGATGGTGTGGTCTTTGTTTAGCGGAATGTCGCGGATCAAGTGCGAGCCAGCGACAACCTCGAGATACCCGTTTTCCGCCGTCGCAGGCTCAACAGCGATTAGGATCGTAAGGTGCTTGAGAGCGGCAATGTGCTGGTATGCCGGGGAGTCGGTATGCGGGTCAAATCCGCCGCCCCCGGGAGCTTTGTAGTTGATCTTCTCCTGTAAGTGTCCATTGTCACCGATATAGATATGTAGCTCGGGTAAAGACGCACTTTGAAAAGGACCATCTCCTCGCCCGACAACTGGGCGAGCATGCACCGCAACCGCGTACCACGAAGGAGTGCATTAAAGCCGTCGTGAAAATTTGCATAATTCTCTGTGCGTGTGAGGAAGCGGCGACCATATTTGTCGATCTCCTCGTATGGCATGTGTGCTCCAGGCGTGTTTGGCCATTCCTACGCAGTCAGGACGGCGTCAGCAACACCAGGTCGTTCCTGCTTCTAGACATGGGCAGACGTACCTTGACCTCCGCCGTCCAAGATATCAGATCCGCCTGCTCATGCTCGTTGAGGAGCCCGCGAAGGATGAGGTATCCGTTCTGGGCAAAGAAGGTCATCTGCCCCTCGGAGAGTTGGAGCTGCTCGTCGCTCTTGATTGCACTGGTCATCGTGATGCCGTATGGGAAACGTAAGCCGGGTAACTTGCAACGATGAGGGAATCAAGAGGTCCAGGGGTCGTCTTCGCACGCAGACATCCTCGGAGGACCGTAAGAGGAAGGTGCAGGCCAGTAAACCTCTGCGTCGTGGTGTATTGCGGGCGTTGACCGAACATGTCAACGTTAACTGCTTCCCTCTTCTCTGCTCCCCTTCTTACAAGATCATCAGCAATGATAACCCGTACCCGGCAAGCCTCGTATACCGCGGCTCTCTCTATATATGGTCATCCTGGGTCGCTGCTCCTCCAGCAGCTTGGACCGGATCTCCTCCGGTCCCTTGTATGCCAATATTCGTGCGGCAAGGTGTTGCGACCATGCGGATCAACACGAGGCCACAGCATTCCTATCAGTGAATCTGTCTGCGCCCTCGGCAAGTCCAGCGGTTTGATGCGCAGCGGACAACAGGAACAAGAACAGTGGTGTATTCATATGGGGAAGGGCGGAATATCGCGACGTAGATTGGCTGTGTTGTTGCTCGTGAAAATATCTATGTTGATTCAGGTATTGTATTGTGCAAATGTGAATCTACGGGACTGATGGTAGTGATTGCCTAACGCAACATTGTGCTGGATGAATCATGATGATGAGCACGCGTATGCGTTCAGCCGGTCTCTCTTCGACACGTTCCTACTCCTCTCCCTACATCACAGGTGCAACCGCAACTTGGTTGTGGATGGTGCCCATCGGCGTCCCCCAGGCGTACATGTCGTACCCTTCCTGGTAGGACACATTCGGCTTGCGCTCGAACGTCGCGGGCCACTTTTCGCGACGGTGTTCGTAGTACTCCCTGCGTTGATCGCCTCCTTCCTTGGTGAGGTTGAAAGTTGCGTATATGAGCGCACGACCCTTCTCTGAGTCATTCTTTTCCGATCTGTGGACGAGGAAGGAAGAGAATATGAAAATATCGCCTGGAAGAGAAGAAGACATATCAGCGCGTGGTCTATCACCCCTCCTACACGTCATCTTCTCACCTGTGTCCAACTCAGCAGGTATCCATCGTTGCTTGGCACACCAGGCATCATCAATACACTTGTCATGTCTCGTGGGGATGTCCTTCAGAAGGTGCGATCCAGGGAGTACCTCAACGCATCCGTTTTCAGGTGTAGCCGGCTCCACAGCCATGGCCAGGGAAAGATGATTAATAGAAGCGATATGCTGATAAGACGGTGCATCCGTGTGTGCGGGGAAGCCGCCGCCCCCGGGAGTTTTGTACACGATCTTCTCCTGGGAGCATTTCGATGAGGTCATGCCGTCACATCAGAGGGGGAGAGAAAGCTTGCCTTAAACAGGACCATCTCCTCGCCTGTGACCTGTTGAACGAGATGGGCCAGCTCCTGACTCCGCAACAGGTGGCCGAGCTGCTCGTGATGATCGACGAAGTTTTCAGTGAGGGTACGATCCTTCTTGCCGTTTCCTTTGATCTCTTCGTAATGCATGTAGTGATTCGGCATATCTGGTGAGTTCTACAAGTCCAGTTAGTTCCGCTTGGGCATACTTGTGTACAGTCAGATAATGGACACCATCCGCCATACCTTGACGTCCTTTACCCATTCTATAAGGTCTGCTTTCTCCTGGGGCGTGAAGAGATTTCTCAATATGAGATACCCTTGCTGCGCATAATCTATCTTCTGCTGCTCCGAGATTTTCCAGGCTGAGGTGGTCGAGAGTACAGACATTGTAGATGGGTTGGGCAATACGTGTAGTATCGCTCTAACTCGACTTGCTTTTATACCATTATGGCGCCGTTTGAGAGGCAGGTATGGGCGGAGTGGAGGCGGCGAAGCATCAGATGTTTTGCAGATGAGCATCGACTGTAGTCCGGCTTTGCCAAGATCCCGGCGTCAACAATACAGTCGGGCTGTACGTATCTGCCATCAGCAGCGCAGACAGGAGAACGAAGAGCGTCTGCTTTGGGTAAGTAGCCGCGGTGGACAGCCTTTTTGGCACATTGTGTCGCGTGTTCCAAGACCAGTCATTGATGAGATAAACGAAAAAGAAGTTGTAAGTGCAGATCGCATCATCAGCCAGAGAAAGGTTCAGAGGAGCAAGATCGAAAACACAACGGCAGGCGAGCCATCAGGCCTAAGGACGTTAGAGGCATAGTCCGGGAAACGAGGTGACAGCGCGACTAAAGGAGAAAAAGAAGAAAGGGCCGTGGTCATCTGGCGCGCAACGCGGATTGCGCGCAGGGACAACACGCTTTCAATCGATCAAACGACCACTCAGCAGACCGTAGTTATTCCATCCTTTCTGAGATCAGCTTCTGTCCGACGTCCGGAAAAAAATGACTTTGGACGTTTCCAAACAAAATACTGTCGATATTCTATTTAACATTCTCATCGCTCAAGGCGATGCCGACTACATCGGGGAAAATGTGTCTCAGTTGGAGCATTGCTTGCAGGCTGCCCACCTTGCACATTTGGCAGGTTAGTGTTCATCTCTTGTCACCGTATACTTTACACGGAAGATGCCTACATGATTCGCCCTCTTCCTTACGACATGACCCTTTTACCACCAATACATCCTGCTTACCCTCCTACAGGCGCTGATGATGAAAGTGCGTAAGCAGTTTGACTGGTCCGCCAAGTCGGCTCGAAATTAGACGTTTCGCTTATCTATTCGCTTCCTCCTCCTGCTTCTCTGCGGGACCCTTCTGGATCCTCAATTCTGGTCTTCGACTTCGTCCAGCGATCCTCGCCGCATTGCTACACGATATCGGTCAATTCCTGCCAGAACAAACGGCAGAGGCGATGATGACCGAACACGGATCCGTGGGGCGCCAGGGACATGAGCGATTGGGCGCAACGTATCTCGCCGAGCTTGGCTTCTCTCAGAAGGTGTGTTCTGACGTCGAGTCATTCAAATCGCCCATTGCTGCGGAAATTCGTTCTTCCTACCTCATCCGATTGCCCGCCTTGACTCTCAATGCCAGGTCTGTGAATTGGTCGGAGCGCACGTGATAGCAAAGCGATACCTCACCGCGATCGACAAGTCCTATTACGAATCTCTCAGCGAGGCGAGCAAGATAAGTCTGCGTTTTCAGGTAAGATTTCCTTCATTAGCTTGGCTGTCTAGGCGCGATCTAATCAGTTCCGTCAGGGAGGACCATTTACGAGCGCAGAGATTGAAGACTTCGAACGCGATGGGCATTTCCGGGATAAAGTCGCATTGCGTGGATGGGATGATCAAGCAAAGGTTGTTGACCTTGCGGTACCAGAGCTAGATGCTTACCGCTCCATGGTCCTTCGGCATCTTCGTCTGCAATCTTCCCCGATGTTCGCTCAAGACCGAAAGTGACGAATAAACGAAGGATATACGGCATCAAACCCGAAATCCGGCCGCTTGTATACATCGCTGGTAATATTGCAGGGCTCAGGAATCTAGCGGGGCCGAGGCGGACCGAACTGATGCGTTAGATACGCCGAAAGTGCGTCTTGGAACGGTGATGTGTGACGAAGCGCCTGATAATAAGCGCCCATGCCCTAGATACGCCATTGTTACGTCTTGACGGTATATTCCAAGCCACCAATCTCCCCTGATTCTCAGTCAGCAAGCCATACACATACACCTTCTCACTGAACATAGATTCTGATTCGATGCATCGCCCCACAGATGTTGCCGCGTACTCCGAGCTCTGCACTCGGTTCCGACAACGGGTCTACTAGTACCGAAACATTTTCGACCCTTCCATGGACCTTCACTCCCCATTCAACAGCTTGAAACCACGGACATATAACGAACATCCAATGCGTCCCTTCGTCATTCTGAATGCATACGAAGTATCCGGGCTGTTAGTCATTTGTTCGCGTTCCTCTGCTATATACCACTTTTTCCTTCGAAAGACCGTCGTAATGTCTATTCCTTCCTATTCTAAAGAGACCGTTTCCGCTTCTTGCTTTTCTCTCTCTTTGTGATGATGATGCTAGAAATTTCCCGAGGCCTATGACGCGCTCTAGGATAAAGCGAAAAGGATAACATACTCCTATGTTTTTCACACGTTGTGATAATGAGGTGTCCCTAAATATCTACAATGAGCGTGAAAATCGGGACGGAACTGCCTTTGATGGGAGTTACCGTCTTACCGCTTCAAGCTCAATCACATGCTGTCTCGGTAGTCACCGATGTCTCATGCCTATCCATATATGATACGCGATGGAGTCTCCGTTGAAGCAAGATCGCGAATGCCTGTGTGATCTATATTTGCGTCAGTGCTGCTTGTGTCATCAAAAGTAGTATAGCTCCACTTGGATTAGGTCCGCGAAAACTGCTGAACAACTTGGCGAGATCGAGGAAGTTTCAAGTTGCTGGCAGCATTTCCGTGCCACGCTGGACCTCCAACCTCATCAAGATGTTCTAAGAATACCTGTTTCGCGGTGCGAAGGTGTATAACCATACCCCAAACCTTGCCAAACGCGAACAGGTTACTCCCGCATCAAGCAGAATTCCTATTCGATTGATCCTAGATGAGACGCTCAATATTGCAAGGGTGGGAGCGGTCATGAAGCTTCGAGACGTTTTGAAGTATCTCTTGCCTTTTTCTGGGCCAAACACACCCTAGAGATGATTTCTGTTCCTCATTTCTGTTCCGCGCCGCTTGACCCGCATGCTGTGCCCCTGACCTGAGAATCCAATCGCACAATTCAACAGATTCGAGCATTCGCCACGCTAAGGACCAGTTTTAGCGAGAGGCGATCCTCATGCGCCTTGGGGGCTGTACAAATACCCTATAATTTCAGGGTTCTCTGCAGACCACTTTCCTGTCGTAATGGAGATTAGTGATTCAGGCCAAAACGGATTGGTACCCTTCCTCACTATCCGCATGATAAAACGTCCGAATGGAGAAGCCGTCTTTGTCGCCCGTTCCCGAGAAATATGAGAATAGACGACTAGTTTGACAACTTGATTACGCGTGGCATATGGTATCACGTTTGCGTGGTTGCAGCCCATCGCAGCATCCCCTCTGTATGGCAGTCCCCGAAGGACGTCAGTTATGGCTTTCTTTCAATAGTGAAGAACGACGGAGATAAGGCGCTTGCTTCCGCCAATCACTGAGCCCCTTTTGAGATCCGGAGGACCTGAATTTCCAATCAGCCTATGGTACAAATAAAGACGGACGAGAACAACACAATGGCTTGTCATCTTCCGCCAAGGAACGTCCACGTATTGAACAAGAAGATTCAATGGATGACGGCAATCAAGGCGGCAGTCTAGTAGAGCTCATCTTTCCGTGTCTTTCTTTTTCCCAGTCGGCGACTTGGTATGCCGGTCCGCTATGACATGCGGCACAGAAAGAAGCTTTTGCAGAAGAACGCGTTGTTTTGCATAAAAAGTACCGATTCAGCACTGCGAAGTCCTGTGAAGAATATCAATTGGCATGAAAAAAGCTTCTGTGACGTTATCTAACCTGCGGCGGTGCGAGTAAAGGAAGAAAACAAGCAGACTGTGGGCGGGGTAGCATTCACCAAAGAACATCAGGCCCAAATTTACGGTAAACGCAAAACGCCGTGGGCCGAGAACTCTTGATCCTTCGTGTACCACCGGCTTTCTACAATCAGATAGTCGCCTTCGTTCGATCCCGCCTTTGCCGCCGACCACACAGCGTCCAGACGTCGCCAATCGGTGAAGGCCGACGGAAGGCGCGAGCATGTTTCCTTTGCCGAGAACGGCCCGCTCTGCTCAGTAGTTATGGCCAGGTCACAAGCGTAAAGTGATGCCCGGTGAGAGTGCCCTGCGGTCGCACAGCACACTTGAGATATCGGAAGGCCGGCTTCCGGACCTCGACAAAAAGAGTGCTGGCATGCTCAACGTAATCGCGTGTTGATTGAGGGATCATAAGGACACAAATCTGTTGTGCTCTTTTGTGAACACGGAGACACGTTCTCCGGGATCGGAGTTCTCCGGCAAACCATGGAATTTGCAGGTAAACTTCCTCCGAGGTTTTACAGACTGCCAGAACTCGGAGAAACAGTGAACGTTGGCCGGACCAATTCAGCGAAGCAGTTTCCACGTGAGTTGCTGCAGGTCTCGTAGCATTGTGGAAAAGAACAGAGAAATGTTGCGGGCCGCAGTTCATCATGCGCTTGCCCTTCTCAATGCAAGAATATTGCACATAGACTGTGATGGCGGCGAAGAGTCGGCCGACACACATGCACGGGAGCAATCGGTAAAATGAAACTCCGACCAGAAGACGGGTCTGCTGATAACAAAAAACAACAACTTGAATTCGATCATTCTAAAGATGCATCAAGAACATAAGCAGCCCCCACAGCAATATCATCTGATATCTTGACACACTTCTAGAGTCGACATGGGTCATTTGCATATTCCCAATGAAGGTGCATTGAATCTTGCACGACTGTTGGCACGTTGGCGACAAGGGATTTGCATAGGTGCATGTGGGCACACGAGGACATCAGACGATGTCCTCGTCAACTATCGGACCATGGTAATGAGAGGCTGCAGGCTTGGGTTGTACGATGATCTCAAGATGGGTCACTGGTTTGGAGGTTGTTATCATCCCAGGTCCGCCCCTATTCTCTCAACGTTTCCTCATTTGATATTTGTTGTGATTAGGTACGGTCAATCTGTATAACCCGGCTACTCTCCCTCATGGCATGAACAAACTAGTATTGTTGTGCTACTTGGGATGCATATGAATGAACGTCCGACTCCATGTAGAACAAGAACGAACGCTCTGTTCAAGACTTTCTCCACTCAGAACTCGCTCCTTGCTCGCAGTGCAGAGAATGTGTTGTATGTGAGGCGCTACTAAATCCATGTCATTCAAAAAGCATTGACTGTCCTGTCAGTTTACCATCATAATCACGACCAGTTCACCTTTAGCGAGGGACTTGACTGCAACTCATGCCACTCCATCGATTGGACTGGAACTATCTGGAGCCTCTCTTGGCGAATACGCTGATACTCCTCATATCATGGTCGAGAATTGGACCATTCTTGAAGTATAAGAATCAGGTACCCAAGAACAGCATGGTTCGCGCGATCACCGTCCCCCGCTCTGCTTACCTTCGTATCACGGATTATGGGCGCTGTGCAGTATCTTGCATTCCAGCCATATCACCAAGACCTGAGTCTGCGCTCCGACCTGTCATCGAGACTCCCGAGATACTTCATATAGTACTGTGCACGTCAAGCTGATATTCGCGTGAAATTCTAATAGAACGACAGATCACTTATCAGCACTGCGTCTGCCCTTTGGCAGCTGATCTTTCCGATATCCAGACTGCGCCGGTACCGACTTGAAAGTACAAACTCATTGTACCAATATCGATCATTCATGAAAAACTAGGCGAATAATGGCACTTCACATGTAGTTAATGCCCCTTCAATTATCTTTCACTTAATACGCCTCTTATATGAAACAATATGCTGTAGAATCTATCGTTCCGGATGCCCCTCTGCGGAAGCAGCCTTCATACAATGACACGGAGGCAATTATCCTGCCTTCTTTTGCGCCATTGTGGGAATGACGGAAAACTCATAAGGGACAGAGCTTAGGGGTCTTACAATAATACTTACACGTGATGTCATCAAGAAATTAGAATATTTACTCCTAAGTAGAGGCTGGTATTTGAAGGTTATAGTAATAACAGCAATGTACCACAACGACCGAGATAGCTTTGTTCTTTGATTCTGCAATTTTTTCCATATAACAAAAAATTGTGGACCCCTGAACTATCGAATTATGCACAAATACACAGTAGTACATGTGAAGAAGAGGGCATTTAGGGCAATTGCCTCCGGAGGGGCATTGTAGGCTGCTTCCGCAGAGGGCCGGATGAAATTACTCATTTATAAATGCAGCCGGTAAATCGTGTCGTATGGGCTGCCCAGAGCTTTAAAAGAGCAGTACAGTAAGATTTGTGATCCGCATCAGCCGCCCACTCTCACCTCGACGCCCACCTAGGTGATGCATCTTCTTTTAATCTGCCGTTGTGGTGATATTAATGGCACTCAAAAGTGGCGTTCACGGCGCGGACGACGGGTGCTCTGTCCCTTACCATAACCGCGTTCAAGAATTAGCTGCTCGCAATCTACGATCTTAGTGTTCTCAGTGCTGTACTAAGGATTGAGCGACTCATGGCAAACGCAAGAGGAAAGAGGCCAGTCCGAGGGTCCGGCGGCAAGGTCTTGGTCCGATGTTGGTTTTACGAAGGGGGGCGTGGATCAGAATGTCCATCTCCGTCCAGTTGCCGTATGCTCGTTATTTCAAGTCTAGATTTCATGCTGACATACGAAAACGCAGGTTACGTTAACCCATGGGAACCGGAATGGAACACGTGTCGAAGTGCGCAGAAGGCCATTCGGTGCAATGCAAGCGACAATCGTTCCCAGGTACAGACCACGCTCATCTTATGCTGGCTCTAGAGGTTTGATCTTGACGGCAACCCGATACATAATGGATGTCGTCAAGGCAATGAATGCAGGTTTTTGCATCCAAGCGATGCTGGTTGGAGCGACGCAACCACTGCAGCCTCCCTCACACCACCAGCACCACCAGCACCCGCGCCGGTACCCTCTTCAAGTTCATCTTCAACTCCGAACAAGCCAGCCCCCCGCAGACATTATAAAAGATGCCGTGTACGCTTATCCAAACGTACTTCGAAGGAGATTACTGATATAGATATTAGTATTTCAATGAAAAGGGTGAGCGTCGTTGGGGAGGCTGTAAAGCTGGACTTGCTTGCAGTTTCTTGCATCCCAGCGATCCAGGGTGGGCAAATCTAGTCTCGCACCAAGCCGCTCGTTGCCAGGTGAGGCTCTTGCATCTATTCGAAGTACTTGCAATGCTATTCGCCTCAGAATTACGATGCCAATGGAAATCCGGTCCGCGGAGGATGTCCTCACCTGACTTCATGCGCGTGCGTATTCTGCCGAGTGCTTGCGTGCTGGATACTGTATCTGACTGTCTGTATACCAGCCATATCCATCCAAACGATCCGGAATGGAAAGACATCTTCAAACGCACCTACGTGGATGACGACACGATAGGCGAATCTTCGCGTGCTCGAGGCCGTTCCACATCACGTCGTCGATTTGGCGATGGGGTATTTCAAAGACGTTTCCCCAGTCCTGATCGTCCTTATAGAAGACGCCGTTCTCCCAACCCGTTAAGTTACGGGCGTCAGCGATCACCCTCCCCGAGTGCCACGAGCAGCCTTCGCTACATGCGTGAACATTCTCGAGAGCGAGAGAGAAGATCTTCAAGTCCCCTTCTCAATCATCGCAGTTACTACCCACAAGAATCGCGCTTTCGTTCTCCGCGGGATAGATCATCACCTTTGACACCACGATATACCTATTCCCCGCGATATCGCTCCAGATCACCATCTGCGATTCTTCTTTCTCGTGAGAATGACCATCTGAGCAGCAGTGGAATTAACTTGGATGCTCCTGAGTTTACTATAACAAATCTGCAAAATGAAGACTACTACGCGGCTGTTACACGGAGACTGATTGGGGGCGAAAATATTCTTCAGCAGGCTGAAACGGAGTCGCGCATAATAGACAACGAACTGGTTTGGGATGCGCTTAGGTCGGACCCTTTTCTGCTGTTAATCGGTCATCCTGACATAAAACAGATCTCTCGCTGAACTTTTCCCCCACGATCTGTCTATGCTCAGTACGTATCTCCCATCCCTCCTTTCTTACATGCGCTGAACCTCCACAAATCAGATATGGCCAAATCCACCTATAACCATCTGATCTCAATGTCCGACACTGAATACCAGAATTCTGTTGAAGATCTCATCAAGAACATGGTTACTCTACAAGCTGCTCTACAGCAATATCATGAATCAAAAGTGAAGGACGACGCGGAGCCAGCTCTACCGTAAGCGTCGCTAGAGTGCTTGAACTTCCAATTCCTGAAACACCTTTGACAGCATTGTACATCGGCGCACTGTTGAACTCTACAATAGAACGCAAATGATTGTTCCTTTGTTGAACTCTATCAAGAATTCAGTACTGCGGACTGCGCCCACCGAAATGTCCGAAACAGAAACTGTGAAAGGTGACGCCATGGAAGTCGATGAACTGTCGCCCAAAAGTGCTGCCAGTCCGACAGCTTCTGGACCGGGTGGCTTCTGGAATGCTTTGAAGAGCATGCTGGGATTTGGGTGATGTTGGACCAGCTTGGCTGCGGTGGGAGGAGATCTAAATCGTTTGGGTTAGTATGTATTCCAACTGAGCGATCTGGATCGAGTACGGACCGCAGAGGATGATCGTTTCGAACACCCTGTCAGATCTCACCGTGCTCCATGGAGACCTAGAAAATAGCTTCGTAATGAAATTTGGAAATTTGGTGTGTGAAAGAGCTCCAGCGGTGGATTGTCGTGAATCCACAACGCGGTGCCCGTAGTGGAATTGGGTTCCTGCCGGCGACCATCTCGCTTTGACTTTGACTTTATCTGGCCATGCGGCTTTCATGAAGGCTCGATCCGGGTTCGCACAAGAAAACGGCCGTCAGGTGGAAATGCCAAGCCGTCGTACGAGCGGATCTTTATCTTATCTCTTGCCCTTAAAAGGCAAGGCCCCTGCTAACCCCTTTCTTTGGAAACGTCCATCAACCGACCATGAGGACGTGGAATTTGGTGCCTTTCTCTATGGGTAAATATCTCAATGTCCTATGGCTCATGCCCTCCTCCTGTATGCTGGTGCATAATGCGCCACTTATTTTGGTCTACTGTCGTCCGATCAACTTGCGTTGCCCGGCATCTTGATCTTATCAGAAGCACTGTTTGGGCGTGTGACAGAAGGCAGAAGCTCAGTGACAACCACTGGCAGCTTCGCCACCTTCTCCCAATCTCCAACCATGCTTCTTCATAATCCTGGATATACCGGCAGATCCGCGTTGCCAACCGTATCCGCGGCCTTTTCTGTTTGTGGGGTGCTTGCATCTCCGCCCCATATGATGGACCGCCCGGTACATAAATGCGTGTAGAAAGTCGCACGGATACAAACCCTCCCCGAAACCCTCCTTTACTCTGACGATTGCCCGACTGTACTGATCTTGCTCCGCAATTCATGCTTATTACACCGTCTTCGACCTCCATTTCATGGACAGCGGTGCACTGCTTGAGTCTTTGGAGCATGCCCAACAAGGACGCTTTGTCACAGGTGTGCCCGATCACCGTTCTTTTGGGTCTTCTTGACATGTTCCACAGTAGCTTCCCTTTGTCTGGTCCTGCATGATCATTGTAAGCGAGCTGTAATCTCGCTGATAACCTGTGCTGACATCCGCCAAGTCTTTACATGCCGGCAAGAGGTCCGCCGTTTCCGCGTTTTCACCCCAGAGTACTGACGTTGCTTCAGTGGAAGTTTATATGGGTAGGCTTTCCCACAGAGACGCCGTCAGAAAATGTTGACGTCAGAGGGAAGATTCGCAAGTGGTCGTTCTCTAAAGTTCTCTTCTTCCTCGTACGTATCACGTCAAGTCTGCAATTACATCCCGTGATATCGACGCGTTTTAGAGTCGTTACGGTACTTTGGGCATACTATTGTCAGTATCAAGACGTGTCGCATACCTGTTTTCACTCACACGGGACAAGATTCGATTTGCATGGTGAGTGATATCGAGAGAAACCAGGCAGCCCCTTACGTTGTACGCAGTCGCGTTAAACGGTGGGCAATCGGATAAGGTGAGGGATCTGTATTCCGCCGGATCATAACTGACCTCGCTGGACAGTTGTACGTTTCTACGTGGATGGTTGACGGTGTACTGAGGAATATCCAGCTGCACGATCTGGTTTTGTTTCCAATCCTGGAGCGGTATGTATTCACCTGTTCGCCGATGTACCCGTGTTGATGATCCTCGAGGATTCTACAGCGCGTTCATCATCGAAGGCAGACAAGTTACCTCCGGTCCCCGGATGAAACTAACAAGTGCTCAGCCGTGCTCATCTTCCGAATCTACGCCATGTACCACGGAGATAAGAAGATCATGTACTTCCTCGGGCTGCTATTCGTGTGCCAACTGGGGGTCATGGCGTATGTGCTGCAAGCCGGCTGCCGGGCGCTACGAGGTACGATGCGTCCATAATACGGAATTCCGGCTGATGACCGAGTCCAGCTGTCGCGGAACCGTTTCCCGGAGTGCAGGAATGTACAGTCATCCAGACGATCTCATACGAATTCGCATACTGGGGTACGTCCTCTCTCCCCATCCCGACCCGCCTAATCCTTGCTAGTCGCTCTCCTCCTCTTCGAAACCCTCCTCTTTCTCCTCTCCCTACGCAAAGCACATCAACACATCCGCGCGTACACCTTCCGATTCGACGACCTCCTCCTCTCCCGCCGTGTAGGCGAAGTGCTCATCCGCGACGGGGTGATGTACTTTCCCTTTATCTTCTTGTCTTACCTGGCCAACCTTGTCCTCTTCGCCGTCTCACCTCTCTATCTCGCACAAGTTGCGCCACATCTCGCCCTCGCCCTCAGGTCGGTACTCACCAACCGCCTGCTGCTGAACGTCAGCCGCAAGTTCTACTACCCCAACCCTGTGGAGCCCAGCCAGTCTCAAACGGGAAAGGACTCTGTCCTGGGGGTCATTGTCTGGGTGAGCCCCGTGCGGCCAGAGGCGGAGCTGCCATTGGATCCGGAGCAGGAGAGGGATGTGGACAGTCGTGCCGAGGGGAGGCATGTCGCCTTTGCCCAAAGCGCGGACGACCTACAAGACGCGGACGAACGACTCGGTGTCCATCTTCCCGTCGAGCGGGAGCGCCCTCCCTCCCGCAACGTACAAGCAGCGGAGGGGGATACACCCGACCGCGTCTGGGAAGCCTTATGACTCTTTTGTTTCACTTCTTGGGTCTTCGGTTCTTCATTCTTGGGACTACGCGGACTTGGCACTTGGTTACGCAAGTAGAGCGTTATATGACTCTTTTGCGCGTTACGTACGCTTCTCGAGCGGACTGTCCACTATTTCAGTGATGAGGAAAGGAAAACGTCACATTGTGCTATCAACGGATGTTCCTGTCTTCCCTACTGTGAGCATCGATGGGGACAGGTTGGGGGGGGGGGGGGAGG